AAAAATGAAAAGAAAAAAAAAAAAAAAATTGTACGATTGCGTTGTGTAGAATCACGGAAAATGTCCAACGAGAATTTATTATAGAAGAAAAAACGACAAACAAACCCCACGGCATCGGGCGATCGCGTGTCTCGGGCCTCTTGCCGATGATTAACCCAAAGCGCCTCTAATGTCAATTAAACCCCTCGGTACCATTCTACGAATGTATACTTGCTTCGTTTGGTTGGAAATCTAATGGTTTTCGAGCACGATTTGGCCTTACTGTGGTAAACACGTTGAATCGTACGCCGCCACGTGTCGTGAGTGTACGTCAACTTGTAGTTTTTCACGAGGAAGAACCCATTACGAGCACCAACCTTTAGTATACTCCGTCTATGTATGTATATGCATACAATGTAATCAGGGTATAGGAGCCAAGGGGATATATATTACATTGGGATGATTTTAATGGGAAGTCGAGTGGATTATATACGCAAGAGACTAACGACGTATTGCATTTTGTATCTTCCTTTATTTGCCTCTCGTTCAAAGGACGATATATCCACCAGTTCTCCCATTGATTCGACAGAGACTCGTGGGGGCATTGTTGCTCTTGAAAAAGTGTACACCGATACAGATTCGCGCCCAAGGTGCCATTATTTTGTTGCTGCCCGGCTACAGAGTTTTGTTGTTATTATTATTATTTCGCCGTCGAGTATAATTTATAATGATCGGCGGAATGTGACAGAAAATACGAGGGAGCCACTTGAGAAATCGAGACTTGCCGCGACGGAGTCAAATTAGGTCGTATCGACCTAGATTTCGTGCGCGAGTAAACACGCGGTAGCGGCTAATAACCGTCAGGGCCCATCACATCCACATGACCGATCAATTGGCTATTCGTCAAGTATATTATTTTCGCATTTTTTTATTTAAACTCGTGCATGATTTTCTTACGTTTGAAGTATACATTTTTTTCACATTTGTAAATACTAGCCCATTATGTCAGTTTAATGAATCACTTCAATTGTGGACGCTGTGTTGAGGTAACGAGGCATCTTTTTTTTTTTTCTTTTTTTTTCAGACGAAACAATGATAAGGTCGTGAATTTTTACTATTCTATTTTATGACATAATAATTCGTTTGGTCGGTATTTCTCATTGAAATCTAGCTTACATCCTGGAACAAAAAAAAAAAACCAAAGAGCAAGTGCCCAATCAGGGCTATGGATTGCAGTATCGCCTGTCTGGCCATAATCGGCTCGATCTACTGAATCGTCGTGAACACAGTAAGTGGTAGTTGACCGTTTAGAAATTGGGTTTACTTAAATGAAAAGGACGATATCGTTTTAAAGTATCAGTTTGATATACCTACAAGCTATTATTTATGAACATTCAAACTTTCCCCCATTTATATCGATTACGCTTAATTTCTCTCATCATTACCTATACTAAAGTATTCACCCGCAAAATGGATACGAGTTTATTTTTATATGTACGCTTTGTATATATGCGTATACATATATGAATATAAAATAGCCGATAAAAATGATTGTAGAGTAGAAAATTGTTGATTACGTCCTGGTAAATAAGTTTTGTACACTGTATCGTGCGATTCACATAAAAAGTACAACCCATTCATGAAAATCAAGGAACGTCTTGCATGTGTTAGAGCTGCATCTACGTAAAATATAAGATCTTCCTACAAAAAAACATGAGTTATTTTTCCAACTCTACCGAGTGAAATAATTTTTTTTTCTCTAACGATTGACTCAAGTTTTGCACTCTACAGCCTTTCTTGTACAGCAGATGAAGCCATTGGTATTAGCATGGGAAAAAACAATTGGATTAATCAACCAAAATTTGGTTGTGCAATGCCAAACCAATTTTATTGGTTGATCTAACAAAAAAAATGGTTGCTGTAACTAACTTTTATTAGTTGAAGCAACTATTGATTCTTTGGGTACCATAAGGAAATCAAATAGTCATCCGAATCAACTTATTTGGTTGACGTCAGATCGATTTTAAAATGATTTTTTTTTTTTTTTTTTAATTAACTACATGTATTTTCTAATGACTTTGTTACCTATTGCTACTAAATAAATAGTTAATATAATTAACAACTACTATTTCTAATTATTTTTAACTGTTTTTAATAGTTAGAGTAACTATTCAACTGTTTTAAATCATTTTTTAATTGTTCAGCTAACCAAATTTGTATTCCCATGCGATTTACTTGATTGCTCCATAAAAATTCTTAGTTTTACACTACTGCAATACATTTGAAAAAAAAAAGAAGAAAAAAAAACAAAAAAAAAAAAAAACACAGTTTTAACACACTTGGGTATATATTTACACAGTGCACGCATGATTAAACGCTACACAACAGGAGTCGCATCCGAGGCCACCATCGTCCCTTAAGTACACGGACTCTTTTTAATCTCACTGTAGATATATAGATGTACATATAGAGTTGGAGGTAAGTTCAACAAGTGTCGTCATGGAGACGAGAAAGAGAGAGAGAGTGGATGATCTGTGGATAATAATGAGAGTTCCGTATACATGGGTCATTTCATAAAAAACTGCGATCTTTTCACGCTCTGATTGAAATTTTTTTAATTGAATGTTTCGAATTTTTTAATTATTTTTTCCAAGTTATATAAGGTTCAAACTAGTTGGAAACTTTTGGGCCCGACTCTATGGTCGTTTATTAAAAACCTATGTTAAGTTAAATGCATTTTTAAGTGTCACATTAGAGTTGTCATTACTGTAACGGTACTTTTTTGCGATTGTGAAGCCCCAAGGTGGAATTTTTCAACGATATTTCGTTTATCACATCTGCACTTTATATCCGTTCGTACGCTATAGTTATCTAATCGATGATTTTAAATCCCTCCGAAATTAGGGGCGTTATGGTAATGACCGCTTATTTTACCGGTGATATTTTTCTACACTTGCAACGACGCTACAAGTAGCCAAATGAAAATTTGGGGCTGCAAAAAAATTTATGTGTTCTTGTACATTTTGGAGTACAAAACGATTAATTTCAAGTGTCTGAAAATTAATCACTTGGCCCAATTAAATCATTTGTGGTGCGCAATTCAAAAGTGTCAAAAGTAGGCTTCACAAATAAAACGTCCTTAACTTAAGAACACATTTTTTTTTGGTTCTAGACTATGAGATAAGGTTCTCAACACCTCAAAATTTTAGATAGTGCATCGTAAAAAAATTCAAAATTCAAAATCTAGGCACCACAAGCCGCAAAAAATGAAATTTTTGAGCGCTTCGCGTTACGGTAATGACATTTTGGCCTGTTTTTTAAATTTAACGGCCACGTCAACAAATGTTTCGACACGATTTCAAAATGTATTTAAGAAAAATTGGTTTACACCGTGTAAAAAAAAAAGTTCCGCCTCGAAATAATTCGATCCGTCGTTTTTAAACGTAGGCTTCATGGAACATTGCATTTTTTGTGAAATGACCCATATACACACGGAGAAAAAGAGAGAAGGCGAGGCGGGGGCGTGCACTGCCGGTAGTAAGAAGTGCACCGTGCGCTCAACGCGACTTTTCATCCCCCTCGTGCGCGACGAGTCCGACAAGTGTGGTCGGGGGAGGGAGACAAATAACGAGCGTCGCGAGAGCTACAGATGAGCGAAAGAATAAGAAAAAATGGCCCACTCGCCCGGCTCCTTTTCAAGATAAACCCGCAACCCCAGCGAAGGGAAGAAGAAAAAAGCGCAAAGTCCGATCAGCGTATGGTGTTTTTTGTTGTTGTTGTTGTTGTTTTGTTCTCTTTTACCTCTGCTTCCCGTAAAATCCAGCCAAAGAGCACCGCCGAAGGTGCAGGTTCGCTCTCCTCACTCGAGCATCGAGAAACGTGGCTGCAGTCCACAAGGAGGAGCACGTGTGCCCTGGTACAAACATCCCAGGGAACTAACAAAACAACCGACTGGCCTTCACTCCCGACCTCCTAGACTTTCGTACATTTTTTCCTTTTTCTTTTTGGCTTTGTGTTGCTACCACCACCGATTCGTCTTCTACGGGGTGTACGTACGCATGGACCATCAATCCTCCCTCGCTCTCTTGCTTCCCTCTCCCCTCGTATCGATTTCGGAGCTGTACTGCTTGGACAGATGCTGGGAGGGGGGGGGGGAAGGAGTGCGTGTGTTACCAAGCACGCGATTACTCCGTGCATGTACGGCACGAAAACTCCTCGAGTATATAAAAAATGACGTGTGCCTGTAATATATACGTATCATCCCTACCGTACGTCATTACATATATTGTATACTTGTACGTCTTGCGAATACAGGTTGGATATCCGAGCAATTAGGCCGTTGCTAATTGATTATACTCGTACTTTTTGTGGCCAATCTTCTTCTTCTTCTTTTGCGCGTTAATCCTAATTGGACGGCTAAGATTGTACCGGCTGGATACGCGTGTGTGTATATAATTATATACGCGTGTACAGTTGCCGAGTGGGCGAGCAATGAAAACAAATGTGATGAAAATCATTAATCGAGTTAATACTTTGGGCTGATGGCTTTTTTCATACACATAACATATACGTGCACGCGCAATCTTAATTTTGTTTTGTAATTTAATTGATTAGCGCGTCGGGGAGCGGGGGTGCGTTTCTGGGCTCGTTCAAATAAAACAAATAGTTGTATAAAAAGGGAGCTGTTTGGAAAATATTTAACTCCAATTTTNAAAAAAAAAAAAAAAAAAAAAAAAAAAAAAAAAAAAAAAAAAAAAAAAAAAAAAAAACTAAAACGGAGAGAAAATAAGCGAACACGCACAACAATATGCCGTACACCGGCGTTTAATCGTCAGCATCCACGCGCGCTCCTCTCTCTCTCTCTCTGTCCCTCGCGCCCAACTGGCGGGTGTCTATATTAAACGCATTAGACACCGAGCACTCGGCGTCGACGGTAGTACTATTTTTCTACAGCTCGTCGATTTCAGCCGATTTTTCACACGGGTGTGGCGTAGTATACGTACACCCTTGTCTGGCCAAAGATGAAGACAACAACGACTGCGATGCAACAACAGCAGCCGATCATGAGGCAAGTGCCGCCCGACGGCGGCTGGGGCTGGCTCGTCCTTTGCGCCGCGGTGACGATCAACGTCCTGGTTTCCGGGACCGTTAAATCCTTCGGGGTCCTATTTTTGGAGTTTCTCAGGGTTTACCACACTACCCCGACCGAGGCGTCCTGGGTAACGGCCCTCTGCTACTTTCTTTACTATTTTCTCGGTGAGTAATCTCGACTTTGAGTTTATGGCATTGACTAATGATTGTTGAAGTATATATGAAATCTGGTTGTTTTTTTTTTCTTTTTCAGGTCCACTGTCGAGTTACCTGTCGATCAAGTACTCGTACAGGACAGTCACGATGATCGGGGGATTTTTCGCCTCCAGCGGCCTCATGCTCAGTTTCTTCGCCAATTCCGTGACTTATCTGTACTTCAGGTACGAATCACATCTATACCTATATACTTATATGAAAGCAACAAAAAAATGGCACTTTAGTGTGATGATATTTATTATCTGTACCTTGACGCAATAATATAGTTTTTTTTTTTTTTCATACGCTATAAGTGCATCTTAATGAGTATGCACTTATGCGGCTGACGATAATCCCATAAACCAGAACCACATACCGATAAACAAATATTGAATATGAAAAAAAAAAAAATGCCCACAAATATATCAATCTCGATGTTGAGTTGAAAAAAAACTATTTCACTTTTTTTAAACTGAGAGATATGCATTGTAAGGAAAAACAATAATACCGTTTCCAAACTGCAAATCGAGACATTGTGACCTCTTTTCGGTAAACGCGTCGACGAATCTGGAGAAACAATTAGCCCGACGATCGTAATAATCTCTCCTCGCGCGTGATATTGTTGTGTCTCCTTATACTGAGTCTTTCCTTCTCTTTTTGTGCGCCAACTGTATGCAGTTACGGAATAATGATGGGAATCGGAGCGGGCTTGTGTTACCCCGTGACGATATACATCGTGAGCGAGTACTTTGAGCGTAGACGCGGCCTCGCGACCGGACTCTGCATATCGGGCAGGTAAACAAACGTTTAATCACCGACTTTAACGTCTTTTTCTTTTCGTCTCATTTAATAATTAATTATAACCACCAGCACAATAGGCACGGTCGTGCTGTCGCCTCTCCTCCAGTTCCTCATCACCAAGTTGGGTCACAGGTGCGTTATACATGTATACATACATATATATACCTGCTTACATCTCTGTTATCTATTATCTGTCTATCGATCAATGTCTACTTGTTTTTTTCCAAAACCTAATTCAGCGCTTGTCTCCATTGTACATGTATGATGATACATTTATGTGCAGCAATGCAACGATTCTCAAGCTATTTTGAAGCCTCTCTTATTGAATTGCGCACAAAAAGCTCACGTACTATTTTTCTCCCCAATGAAAGATACACCGTCCTGATCTTGGGTGGCCTCGTGGCAACGACGATGATATGCGCCTTATTCTACCACCCGGTCGAGCGGCACATGAAGCTCGTACCTGCAAACGACCCCGAGAACCAGCAGCAGCGACAACAACAACAACAACAACAACAACAACAACCGCAATCGCCCAGCAAAACGGCGAGCGAAAAGGACACGGACGGACTGTCCTCGCGTCGGAGCAGCGTCATCTCCAACGTCGAGTCCATCACCGCCGACCCACGCCACGACCTCAGGGTCAGCCTCATGAGGAAGAAGCTCTTCAAAAAGCAGATTGTGAGTTTTTTTTTGCGCTTCGTCCCCATCCACCTGCACTTGCCTTGTATGTGTTATCTGAAACAAACACGACTTTAGAGCCAGATATCGAGCGTGAGCGACGAGGTGGGCGCGGATGGTGGTGGTGAGAGCCCCGGGGAGCCCCCGATATTCCAGTGGTCGATCCTGCGCAACCCGCTCTACCTGATAATCCTCGTCTCGAACTCGGCCTCGGTCATCAGCAACACCAACTTCATGATCCTCCTGCCGGCGTACGGCGTCTCGGAGGGCTTCAGCGGCGACCGCTCGGCCCTCCTCCTCTCGGTGGTCTCGCTCTTCGACCTCATCGGCCGAATCGGCGGCGCCAGCCTCTCGGACCTGAACCTCGTGCCGAAGCACTACTACTTCGTCAGCGGCCTCGGCTTGAGCGGCATCGCCCTGGCCCTCGTCGCCGGCTCCGTCGGTGATTACTACAAGCTGGCCGGGCTCTGCGGCCTCTTCGGCCTCGCCTCGGGCCTGTACATCGGCACGACGGCCGTGGTCCTCGCCGACATGCTCGGCCCCGAGAACCTAACCTCCTCGTACGGTATCACCCTGTGCGTCGGCGGGGCTCTGCAGCTCGTCGGCCCGCCCGTTTGTACTCTGGCGTACGAGCGGATCGGGTCGTTTCGCCCGATTTTCCTCGCCCTCGGGCTCCTCCTCGTGCTCGGGGCTGCCTTCTGGACCCTCTTGCCGCTCGTCAGGAGGAACAATGCTGCCGGGGCGTCGAAGAAGAGTCCCGTGGCCACGGCTTGACCGCACGCACCACGGGACGATACCGTTGCACGGATGGTTTTTTATTTATATCTGCAGGGAATTCGAAAATCTCTGATGTTTTCTTGTAAATATCACGTATATACTTACAAATAGGCCAATCTGGGGATTTATAGCGAGATATACATGGCTTGTACAAACAACGTTGTTTTGGTTGTATGTATATATACATATTTATGTATATGAAATTGTGACTAGCGGCGTGTAAATATCTTTGTCAATATTGTAAATATATATTATATCTGTCATTGTTTATGTACATCGTATAAATAACCCAAACAGAAATTATGTCTTGGTGAAGAGCTACAATAATGATGAGTGATGAAAAAACCGATAATGAGAAATATAATTCAGTCCAGACTTGAGACTGACATGATAATTTTACTGTTAATTAAAAAGAAATAACTTAATTGCCATAAAGTATATATATGACTAGTTGTTCATGAAAAAAGATTACAGTCGTTAATGACGGTATGAAAGAATTTTTTTACTTTAATTTGTAAACAAAAAAATAATCAATAAACGATAATAATCGATGTAATTATAACTTTTGGAAAGATAAATGACTTATTATATAGTCTCAAATATGGACTTTAGTAATTGTTAATTAGTCTTTATATTTAAAACATGTTTATTTTTATGTTTACAAATAATTGAATAAACGAGAGATAATTGTATTGTTTGGAAAATACTTGGATCTAATGTGAATTCTTATCTCTCTCTATTATAGAGATTTATAATGCACCTTTTGTTATCGCGGTACTTAAGTATATATGTGGAATGTTGAAACTTTTTATAAAAACGATCGAAAGCCTCAGTAACTTTGTTAATCAGAATGAAACGAACGGTAATTTAAAGGTTTCGTAGAAAATAAATTTTTACAGTAGTGAATAATTAGTTGCAAAACGAAAGTGCAATAATTGATGTGACGCAAGATTCTTGCAAGATTTCACAAAGCATATTTAAGTATTTGTCGCCCAAATTCTATTGCAGGTATTTCTATGAAACTTTTATCTCATACGGTAATTTGTATTTACTTAGAAAATTACATTTTATTATATTTTACTTAGAAAAAAAAACATTTTCCGTATGCGTAGTATATATATAATATATATGTATGTTTTGTACAAACTTTTATTACCTACGTTTCGTGATAACAATTCCAAATTATGAATAAACAATTTTCGTATTAAGAGATAAGAATGATATTAAAAAACTGATAATAGACAAATTAGTAGATAAATGAAAAAAAAAAAAAAAAAAAGATAAGAATCGACATTCGACACTCGGAATACTCATGTAAACACACCTTCCGCATCCTCTGTCCTTTTTTCAATCCCCCCTCTCTCTCATTTCTCGCCGTGTGTTTTCATTTTCTCTCCGTGCACAGTTTTACCCCTCATTTATTAGTAATAACCTGACTTTCAAAACATACGAGCCCGACAAGCAAAAACTACACGTCATTATTTTGTCATTAGTCGAAAAACGTAGTCAATAAGACACATAGTTCAATGCAAATGAGAAGAAGCAATGGCTGGAGGACGTCGCTGTCCAGGCGGACGATCGAGTACTCGGCTCCAAGTCGGTAGTTCGAACAGCAACAACAACAATAGTGGTTCGGTACCTTCAGGTAACAGCAACAGCAACAACGCTGGTTGTTACAATAATGTTGACGATAAGAGGAACCACAATAACATGAACGAGCAGATAAACGTTGGGCGCACGCTTGCTCCCAAACACATACCCGTGCCATCCGTACCTTTCGACGGACAGATACACTTTGAGGCTTTGTCCTTGGCCACGTCCCTTGTCGTTGCTGCCCTGCAACTGCTCAACTTGTACAAGACTATCTGGTGGCTGCCACACTCCTATAACGATTATAGCATGGTGAGTATACTTTTTATCAGATAAAGTCATCATCTTGTTTAATTTCTTTACTCTTTCCAGAATTTCTATTTAATGGATCCCTACCTTTTAATATTTATCATAACCATGGCAGCAAGACAACTCGTCCACGCCATAATTTGTAAATCGATGGACAGTGTTATTCCCCAGAAGTGGTTACCATTTGCTCAAAGAGTCATGAGGATACTACTTTTTACTGTTGTTATGGGCATACTTCTCTGGTGCCTGTATCACATGAATCAGAGGCACAGTACTATTAAGATTTTTTACCTTTGTTATCCGTAAGTATGGAGTATTGCATTATGCTACATCAATTGTGGAATTAAAATTAACGTTTATCTTCAATGTTAACGTGGGCTTCTTTTTTTTTTTTTTGCAGTTCTGTATCCTTCTATTTTCTAATGTTTGGCTTTAGCATAAGACCGTTTTTTGATATTTCAAGTCCACCTCTTTACGTGAAAGAGGACAGAAAAACCAAATTTTTATTAGGTAAGCCATGCCAGAAGCTTACATTAACTAACTGCATTTGAATATTCAATCATGATTCTTTCGTTTCAGATAAGCCTTTGCATAATTGTTCGTTGAATGCAACTGCCATTAGAGCCGAGGTAGCCAGTCTACAGTTAGACTTTAATAAAAGGTTGAAGAAGGCTCTTTTCGCATCTTCTGGAAGTGCGTACTTGTGTGGCGTTGCACCTGTGATATTTATTCCTCAGCATTTACATTACGACTTTGGCTGGGTGGCACAGCACGTTATTTTCATTTGGCTGGGTAGGTTAGGTACCCATCTATGTCAATCCTACCCCGTCAGGTTGGTTTAAATTTTAATAAACTGCTGTCGTCCCTTGAAAATTATTATTTAAAGTTGACATTTTGTCATGAAAAATTCAGATATTGCGACGTTCTTCATCGAGCAGCGCTTCATTTGGGCAAATGGTCCAAATTTGACAGTAAAAATGTCCACATACCCATACAGTCGTGGAACGACGGGATTCTTTGGCCTCACGGTTCCGTAGTAAGGCATAACAAGGAGCTTTATCGCTCCGAAGGTCTTTGCACTGCTGCGGAACCGGGAAATCCAACTCACCACCGATTTCACGTACGTACTACTAATCAAAACTTAATTTTATGTCTCAAGCCAAACATTAATATTATTGTTGTTTTTTACAGGCGATGTTCGGCAACCCCTCCTTATTTCAGTTTTCTTTGTTTGTCTTGGAGCTGACGATCGTCGTTGCTCAGTTTATGATACTCTTCCGTGCAAGAGAGTGGTATCGAACATTGTCCATGTGTCTTTTACTCATGACAAATTATTGCACGCTCTACAGACTATTCAGAGATTATCTAGTGAGTTACAAACTTTACCATACCGAACAGATAATCCAAGAGAAGGCACAAATAACTATGGCAAATAACGCTCAATAGGCTCGTGAAAAATCCAAGAAGAGAAATAAAACGATACCAGAACGGTACAAAGGCGAGGAAAACAAATGAGTTTGTTTTTATTTATCGATATTTTTTTTTTTTTTTCATAAAATACATGTTACAGACTCAACAGAGATTAAAACATATTTAAAAAAGATTCTCATAATCTCATGTGTGACTTGAAGATTTTTGTAAAAGAAAAAAAAAAAAAAAAAAAAAAAAAAAAACAAGAATCGTTGTGGTTCTTAAAGAATTTCAAAACAATACTACTATTTACATGATTGTGATAAAATTCATGATTTTACAATCTACACATTTTATCCTAACACACATCACCATTTCGATGAAAAAATCGAAATATCTTAGAACGAAAGTAGTAATATAACAAGTTTCTAATAAAACATGGTATTGTGCTTTTTCTTTTACGCATAACAACGAGCCTGCTATTCTTTCTATCTTTTGTCCTTTTACAAGTTAATTTTTCTTCTCGAAAACATCAATTCCTCACAACAAAGAGGAAAAATACAAGGATAGCATATTTTTTTACGGAAATGATTTGTGTTGACGGACCTAGCATCATCATTATTATTTTGTTTAATAACTTGCATGCAAATGAAACGTGTTTGTGTTAGTTTGCGGTAAAATTTTTTTTTTTTTTCTAATATTGACATTCAACATGATTTGTGTCTGTGTTTTCGTACTATTTTCCCCAGCAAATGCTGCATCCTATACTTGGCAGTTTGTGTGAAAATTCCAGTGGGCGTGCGTAGCTTGTCTGCCTTCAAAACAAAAAGTTTACCGATCCTCAACTTTTACGCCTCCATTTCCCGCTCCTTGTACAATATTTAACGTCAACAGCCCCCAGAGAGTCTTTTCTTGTTAGAATCTTTGTTTCGCTTGCGTCACTGTCCTCTTTTAAACGGCTTGCGTGTCCTTTCGACCCGTGAAGGATACGATCGATCGAATGCCTTTAACCGACGTCTAAATGGAAAAACCAGACATTCGTTTTATTGTCAATCATTTTCACGCATTGTGTTACGTAAAATAAATTTATTTACCCCGATCTTCTTCTTGGAAACATTCAGGAAATCTTTGTACAAGTCCGAGCGCAAGTATCTCGAGTACGAGTCGCTCTTCATCAAATGGTACACGTGCGCCTGTAAAATTCGCATTGTTTAAATAAAAAAAGAAACGTTTACACTTGCCGTTAAGTACACAAATAAATACACTTTTTTGTAAACGTACCGCCGCAACGTCAAAGGACCAGCGGTCCGGCTTCTCCAGATTCCGCTTCGTCATCTCGTACGAGCGCGAATCGACGTTGATCGGACAGCTAGCGTCAGCAGCCAGAAACTCGTTCCAGATTTCTTGGACCTTCTCCTCGACGTCCTTCTGGGGCAGCGTCTTCAGGTTACGCACGGCCTCCCAAAATCTTAAAAGTAAAACATCGAAACAGTGATAACAAGAGTAAGTGGGGAGCCACCGCGTTTTCTCAAAGTAAATGTGTGTATACTTGAGATTTTCCCCGCTAAACTCCTTGTCGAGGAACCGTATGAACTGCTCCCGGCCGACCGGGTCCTGCAGCAGCTCCTGGAGGCTAAAGGCCCACCGTTTGACCCTCCTCGCCGACACCTCTTTCCTACGGAAAAAACAACAATGAAATCACATTTTATTCATAATACAGCCTACTTGAAAAGCATCGACAGCTCACGGCAAGTTATCCTGCTCCCACATCTCAGTGCTGTCAGACGTCCAGGGGTTCGGGTACTCGGGTATCGTGAGGAACGCATCGTACTCGGCGTATTGCTCGAAGTAACCGATGAGCCTGCGACGCATGAAATCCATGACCTCCTCGTACGGGGCGTAAAGTAATGAAGTAAAAAAAAAAAAGAAAAAATGAACTCACGCGTCGGCGACCTTGGACACTTTGATGACGCGCCGGTCGAGCCGATTCCTGAGGTGGTCGATCTCCTTTTTGAGCTCGGCGCACGTCCGGGACTCGGTGCGGCGGTTCGACGGCGCCGGGCCGCCAAAGACCGTGATGGTCCGTCTGTAGATTGGCTCCTCGCAGGCGGACTTGCTCTGGTTGCGGTACGCCTTCTTTATGTCCCGCTCGGTCGTGTTCACGCAGCCCGGCTTACAAACGAAGAAAAACGTAACCCTTTTTTTCTTTCCTTCCATATCGATACGTCAATGAAACTTTTATCATACCATTGGCCGGTGGACGTCCCAGAAGGCTCTCTCCTGGCTGTCGAGGATCTTGCGCTCGAGCTTGTCGCGCTTCTTGTCGACCTTGTTCTGCGCCTCCGCCTGCATGAAGATGAACTCCCACTTGCGCGAGAAGAGCCTCTGCAGGCGCGCCAGGTACTCCGACTCGTAGTCCGCCAGCTCGAGGCGCGCCTTGTGCTGCATCGTGCGCTTGCACAGGTAAACGGCTGATGCGAGACGTCAAATGGAGAAAGAAAAATTAATGAACAACGAGTTCGGTTGGACTTTGTAGGTGCGATGTGTGTATATTTAGGGGGGGTCGGTTGATAAGTGCAAGTATAATATGTAATTGTATACCGTAATCGGTGTTCTCGGGCTCCCAGCAGTTGGACGGCCAGAAATACGGGGTTTGAAACCGATAGAACGTGTTGTCGTTCTTCACGGCGAGACTGTGGTCGTCGATCGGAAAAAAGTAGCCGTGCGCCGCCATCAGCTGAGCAACGTGAAGGGCCTCTGTAACGCGAATTTCACGCACATTTAGATATCGGCAAGAAGCAATATATTTTTATTTATTCTTCGTTACCCTGATCGTCGATGTCCATATCCTTCATCATCCACGCTATCAGATCCGTTCCTGCGGCACATTTCAAGATTGATGCGTATATTATTTATGGAACGACTGTATAATATATTTTTGACGTTTATAAAAGAAAGAGATGATGAGTGTTGTGACGACGAACCTGTAAAAATGGACGGGATTTTAGTCATGAAAGTCTTGACGGTCTTCACGGGTATGCCAGTCTCTTCGTTCTGCATTTTTTCGATGATCGCCTCCATCTGCAGGTAATATATTTTTCAGCTCTGTATAAACGTGCAGTATAACTCGAAAATCATGATTTTACCTTCTTGTAGGCGAGATAGTTGGGCGACTCTTGAGCAGCCGGGGCGAAGGGTGTCGGGTGGGCCTGCGCCGTAAAAGTCAAGGACGGTGGCAGCTGGATCTTCGGGCCCTCGGATTGTTGTTTGGGGCCGGTGGCCGTTTTTTGCTGCTCGGTGATGATTTTACCCTCGTCGCCGGCATTACTTCCGGTCGACGTGTCTGCCGCGTTGGGCTTGCTCGTGGACTTTTCGCCGCTCATCGCCGTTACCATGACGAAGTACTTGGATATATGCTATGGGGCCCACGGCGCTCGCCACCTCTCCAATACTTTTTTGCCTTTTTTCTTGTTTATTTCTCACTTTGCCCCATAACTGACTTTCTCCGCTCGCCGGCGGCAATGATGATCGATGGTGTAGCAACGCCACTGCCACCGACTGCTGTTGACGCCACTTCTGCCGTCGGAGCTCCCATCGTGCAGGTCATGACGGGGAGGGAGCTTTAGACCGGACGACGATCATATAAAAGCCTGCGTTTACATAAATATATACACATATAGGAGAGGGGGAGGATAACAATGCAGTACAACACACGCGTGGCCCGTGTGATAATAATATTTATATGTACACATGTAATTATGGGTATTTGTGTATATGTATGTGGATTCGCGCGGGCGGCAGCAGCTGGTGTTTTGTTTCTTTCCTCCTTTCACTTTGGACTGCTCTCGATCGAGCTTGAGATTGTTTTCTTTCCGACAAACATATAAATGAGCTCGAATCGTAATGCGCGAGGGGCTATTTTCGCGATTTTGGGGGATATTTATGTATGTAATGTCCATTTGGTCAATCGTAATACCGGATATACAATGAGCTGACCCTTTGGGAAAAACAAGCTGATCGATCAATATTGCGTATAACTTGCTGTTGTTGTTTCGGTTACGCGAATTTATTAATTTTTTTTTTTTTGTCACCATAAAACTGTAACGACAACTTAGTTAACCCGCCGCCAACTAAGTGTTTTATTTAACGCGGAAATAAATAAACAAACAATAACCATCCGGAAATTCACTTGTTTTGTTTTACACTTTTATGTTTGTCATAGATCTTTGGAATAGTTGTATTGTTTTCCATTATCCGTAATTTTGTAGCTCGAGTATAAAAATACACGGAAAAAAGCCATACTCTTTTATAAAAGCACGTATATATACAAAACTATATGTCCAACCACCCCATGTGTATTTATNTAGGATCATTAAAATTAAAAAAATTTTTTTTTTTTTTTTTTATTTTTTATTTAAAAAGTTAAAGTCGTACACGTTTGACTTTGGTAGATCTCGAGAAATCGCATTTTTTTTCCCCCTCATTATTTTCATTGATTTTTTTCACATTCTATTATTAATATTTTTACAGCCTACTAAAAGTTGTAGATATCATGAAATAGTTGATTGTTTTTTTATAATGTACAATATAATATTGAATGAATAAACAACTAATGAATAAAAAATCCATGTATAGATTGAAAAAGTGATGAATAAAATTTTTCCATGCTTTGGCTTAGGGGAGTAACCGTTGAAAGTAATAAATAATGATAAATACTTGATGTAAATTTGAGATAATTACGGTAAACTCGTAGGAGAATAATATCGTATAATAATTAACTTTTTCCCTGATTAAAATTGTAACAGTCGTGCAAACACGAAGCCCCTTGTTAATGGTATGATTTATTTGATCGAACTGTGCGTGCCTCTTGGAAACGGGGACACTTTTTCACGCCCGGAAGCAGTAGGGAAAAACGTAACAGTGATTAATGGAATTTACATGCTATTTTGTGTAACGACAAAAGATGATTTTGAAAATGTCTTTACTGACAAGTACCACAGTGTACCAATTGATCTGTAAATTATTTCGACACCATTTTGGCTTATCATCAATGTTGTACTATACATATATCGCCGTGTAGCGTGTATTGTTGCGAATTTATTATGCTACCTAGTTTCAAAGGATGGATAGATACTTATTCATAAAAAATCGTGCTTTTTTGTAGAAATTCTCAAATTCTTAGATGTTAAAAATATATCGAGCTACAAATGCGCCTGTAATTTTCATTTTTCCGAATAAGCCACTCACGAGGTGAGGGACCGAGATAACAATAAGTAGGTATAATAATAGCGCGTGCTCTCCTTTTTATTTTTGAGTTAGATGTGCACATAATATGTACCCGATACACTTGCGTCGATCGGAATTTTCATGACGCGTGTACTTCCATTCGAATGGTGCACAGTATTTGCCGAGCACGCAGATGAAGAGCCAAGTATTTTGCTCCATTAATTGAGCTCTCAAATACCCATAACAGCCTCATTCCGCTCGATAAAACACGATTATGCAAAAGTGCTTCTTTTTTTTCTTCCTTCCCCCCGGCATCGCGTCCGTGGAATCTTACCTCAAATTGTACTCTCGAGCATTTACATATATACCTACCTGCCGTAATTTACGGCATTTGTCTGCGTGTATGTGTACACACGCGTGTGCAAACACTCGCGCTTCCGAGATCGCAGTGCTGTTTGTTCGATAAGACAGTTCTCGATGAAAAATCATCATTCGGTGTATCGACACAATAGGTATGTGTACATGGTGTGTCGCTCGAACACAGGATTTTTAGCTGCGCGCGAAGCTCCATCGATTATATATATAACAGGAGTCGCATCCGAGGCCACCATCGTCCCTTAAGTACACGGACTCTTTTTAATCTCACTGTAGATATATAGATGTACATATAGAGTTGGAGGTAAGTTCAACAAGTGTCGTCATGGAGACGAGAAAGAGAGAGAGAGTGGATGATCTGTGGATAATAATGAGAGTTCCGTATACATGGGTCATTTCATAAAAAACTGCGATCTTTTCACGCTCTGATTGAAATTTTTTTAATTGAATGTTTCGAATTTTTTAATTATTTTTTCCAAGTTATATAAGGTTCAAACTAGTTGGAAACTTTTGGGCCCGACTCTATGGTCGTTTATTAAAAACCTATGTTAAGTTAAATGCATTTTTAAGTGTCACATTAGAGTTGTCATTACTGTAACGGTACTTTTTTGCGATTGTGAAGCCCCAAGGTGGAATTTTTCAACGATATTTCGTTTATCACATCTGCACTTTATATCCGTTCGTACGCTATAGTTATCTAATCGATGATTTTAAATCCCTCCGAAATTAGGGGCGTTATGGTAATGACCGCTTATTTTACCGGTGATATTTTTCTACACTTGCAACGACGCTACAAGTAGCCAAATGAAAATTTGGGGCTGCAAAAAAATTTATGTGTTCTTGTACATTTTGGAGTACAAAACGATTAATTTCAAGTGTCTGAAAATTAATCACTTGGCCCAATTAAATCATTTGTGGTGCGCAATTCAAAAGTGTCAAAAGTAGGCTTCACAAATAAAACGTCCTTAACTTAAGAACACATTTTTTTTTGGTTCTAGACTATGAGATAAGGTTCTCAACACCTCAAAATTTTAGATAGTGCATCGTAAAAAAATTCAAAATTCAAAATCTAGGCACCACAAGCCGCAAAAAATGAAATTTTTGAGCGCTTCGCGTTACGGTAATGACATTTTGGCCTGTTTTTTAAATTTAACGGCCACGTCAACAAATGTTTCGACACGATTTCAAAATGTATTTAAGAAAAATTGGTTTACACCGTGTAAAAAAAAAAGTTCCGCCTCGAAATAATTCGATCCGTCGTTTTTAAACGTAGGCTTCATGGAACATTGCATTTTTTGTGAAATGACCCATATACACACGGAGAAAAAGAGAGAAGGCGAGGCGGGGGCGTGCACTGCCGGTAGTAAGAAGTGCACCGTGCGCTCAACGCGACTTTTCATCCCCCTCGTGCGCGACGAGTCCGACAAGTGTGGTCGGGGGAGGGAGACAAATAACGAGCGTCGCGAGAGCTACAGATGAGCGAAAGAATAAGAAAAAATGGCCCACTCGCCCGGCTCCTTTTCAAGATAAACCCGCAACCCCAGCGAAGGGAAGAAGAAAAAAGCGCAAAGTCCGATCAGCGTATGGTGTTTTTTGTTGTTGTTGTTGTTGTTTTGTTCTCTTTTACCTCTGCTTCCCGTAAAATCCAGCCAAAGAGCACCGCCGAAGGTGCAGGTTCGCTCTCCTCACTCGAGCATCGAGAAACGTGGCTGCAGTCCACAAGGAGGAGCACGTGTGCCCTGGTACAAACATCCCAGGGAACTAACAAAACAACCGACTGGCCTTCACTCCCGACCTCCTAGACTTTCGTACATTTTTTCCTTTTTCTTTTTGGCTTTGTGTTGCTACCACCACCGATTCGTCTTCTACGGGGTGTACGTACGCATGGACCATCAATCCTCCCTCGCTCTCTTGCTTCCCTCTCCCCTCGTATCGATTTCGGAGCTGTACTGCTTGGACAGATGCTGGGAGGGGGGGGGGGAAGGAGTGCGTGTGTTACCAAGCACGCGATTACTCCGTGCATGTACGGCACGAAAACTCCTCGAGTATATAAAAAATGACGTGTGCCTGTAATATATACGTATCATCCCTACCGTACGTCATTACATATATTGTATACTTGTACGTCTTGCGAATACAGGTTGGATATCCGAGCAATTAGGCCGTTGCTAATTGATTATACTCGTACTTTTTGTGGCCAATCTTCTTCTTCTTCTTTTGCGCGTTAATCCTAATTGGACGGCTAAGATTGTACCGGCTGGATACGCGTGTGTGTATATAATTATATACGCGTGTACAGTTGCCGAGTGGGCGAGCAATGAAAACAAATGTGATGAAAATCATTAATCGAGTTAATACTTTGGGCTGATGGCTTTTTTCATACACATAACATATACGTGCACGCGCAATCTTAATTTTGTTTTGTAATTTAATTGATTAGCGCGTCGGGGAGCGGGGGTGCGTTTCTGGGCTCGTTCAAATAAAACAAATAGTTGTATAAAAAGGGAGCTGTTTGGAAAATATTTAACTCCAATTTT